TTTGCGACACTAATCCTCGACATCTTCACGATAATGGACCCAGTAAAACCCTTCTCGGATCTTCAGTAGAGTTCGTTTAACTCCCCGATGGACTCCTGAACAACCATCATGGTACAACTGTAGAACATCCGGCACTTTAGCTTTAGGGACAACCATTTGCAAACGAAAGCTCTCTCCTCGACCATTTTCCCATTTACGGCACAGGACTCCATCCTGAATCAGCAAGCTGTCCCATTGGGCCCAATAGCTTTTCGTGGTCGAACTTATCGCTGAGACGTCACTCTACTTGGGCTTGAGAGCACTGGCCTTCATCCACTCCAGATACGGCTTGATGTCCGAATCTTCTTGCTGTGCATGTCGTAGGCTGTCCTTTCATTCGTTGCTGAGGTGGTCTGTTCTGAGAATCCTCACAGATACCACATCCTTACCCTCTTAGCTAGTACTATTCTTGCGATCATCAGGATAAGGTATTCTTGAGAATGCATCTGTGTTGCCATGCCATTTCCCGCTGCAGTGTCCGATAGTAAAGTCGTATTCTTGCTGCTGCTGGGCGGTGCTGTTAGCCGCACTATCCCCTCGAGATCTATCACCTTCCCATTTTACAGATTGCTTAGGGCAGCTGGGCCGAAGATGGCCCAATTCCCCACAGCTGTAGCACCTTGGGCTGTAACTTTTATTGTGGTCGCGAACTATAGGTGCTGTAACCTCCCTACCGTGAGGAGAACGATGTTCCTGCCGGTGCTGGGCGGTGCCGTTAGCCGCACTACCCTTTCGAGATCGATCAACTTTTCTTCAGCCGGATCGAAGATGGCCCCTTTCCCCACAGCCATAGCACCTAGGGCTGTATCCATTATTGCGGTCGCGAACTGTAGCTGCCGCAACCTCCCTGACGCGATGGGAACAAAGATCCTGCCGCACGGCTTCCACCTCCAGTGCATGGGCCAAGGCATCCTTAAGCGTCTCGTGGTGACAGTCAGTCGTCAGTTCTGTGGGAAACAAGTGGCGCTTCATGCGCACGAGAATAACTCGTTCGAAAAGTTTGCCCATGGCCTTGAGGAGGCTGATGGGACGGTGATTGGAGGGGAGGTGGTGAGGTTTGCCTGGCTTGGGAATGCCAATGACAGTTGCCTCTTTCCAAAAGGTGGGAAAGTAGCTGAATTTGAAGCAGGCGTTGAAGATTATGGCCAATAAGGCGATCACCTGCTCCGGAAAGTATTTGAGGGCTTGGTTGGAGATGCCATCCGCGCCCGGTGCTTTTTTGGGCTTAAGTCCTTTGATGGTAGATGAAATATCATCTTTGGACACAGTGATAGGGTCAGAGGCGGTGGGCGGTGAGTTCCGACGAAGGACCTCGTCCTCCACGAGTTTGATATGTAGGGGGTCAGTGGGTTGTGAGCTGCACTCAGCACTCAGCCTTTTCTTCGTCCTCGAAGGCAATAGAGCCGTCGGGACGAGACAGAGGGGGAGTATGCGTGATAGCGTCTATCCGGAAGGCTCTCGCCATCTGGTTGTACGCTGTGTGAGAAGATTTTCTCCGTGAGATTGCCCCTGTCTCTGAAATTTTTGAGGCGGTAACGGAGTTTGCGTTGAAGGCGGTGGGCCGCGAGTCTATACTCGGAAGTGGGCCTGTTCCGCCGCTGCGCGGTCGTTTTATACCCGTTGTTGCAAAACAAGCCGAGTAGTGGGGCGGTGAGGGAAACTGAGCGACGTGCCGGGTGGCGCAATCGGAGCACGTGCTCTTTACAATTTTGCTGCACCGACGTACGACGCCATGCTGACGTCCTCGTACGCGGCGACAGAATTACTGTGGTTCTGAAATAATAAGTCTCGGTGCTTGCTTGCATCGGAGGTGCTGTGATTTTTTCTTTGAAACAAAAAATGATCTGTTAAAAAGTTTTTATTATTATTATTGTATACAAAACATGGTTAAATAAGTTAAGTAAAAATCTGTAAATTCACTAATATTTTGTTGCAAAATTGGTTTTTACATGTAGTTTATGCCTAGACTCCAAAACTGCCAAACTGCCAAAATATTTCTCATCATAACAGTAAGCAGCAATAAACGTTCCTGTAAGACCATTCCTAGATCAAGTATTTAATACATGGATACAACCCACTACAAATTCTACTTTCTATAAAAATCGTTAATTTTTAAAGGAATGTTTTACAATATGTTGTAATATGACATAGCAACATTACTTAAACGTTTGTAACAAACCTTTCAGCAATTTATAACAGGCAATAAACTCATTTATTATTTGGTTGATTTTTTACATTTAATAGCCACTATAAGAATCACATTAAGAACAGAAAACCAATCAAGATCTTCATGCATAAAATGATAAATAATTTAATGAAACCCATTTATTGTTGTCATGATTTTGATATTGGCGATTATTTATAATAAATCTATAGATTATAAAATATAACAAATATTTCAAAAACAGTACGTATAAAGTGGGTAGTAACTTCAAGTATATCAATGTTATCCACAATCATAACAGTTATTATATTTAATGTCCTTTCATAGTTATTACATTATTATTCCAATGTTAATCAGCTAATGCTCACGAAATAAATTTATTTTGTGCATAATTCACTTACTTTATTTGTATAAATCACTCCACATCATTTTATTATCGATTTTAAATACAATACCAATAAAAGGAACTCGTTATTGTAGAAACAAAAAAGATAGGTATTCATATTTTTCTCTCTAAAGAAAAATTTATTTGGTAATTCAAAATAACAGACACATGACAAGTAGGCTGACTTTCAAATAGTGGTATATTTTTTGAAGTAATTAACTGTTTTAATATTAGTCTGGAGTCCTCAGCCCCGGATCTAGGGGGGGGGGCAAGCCGGGGCCTATGCCCCGGGCGGCAAGTTCAGAGGGCGGCCAAATTCACACTTTACAGACGAATGGACAACTCGTCCTTTACTTAACTTTGAGCACAGAATAAATAATAGTACGAGTACAGAAATTTCACTCTTGTTTTACTGCGGCAATATCAACTCGACCGATACCCAGGGACACAGCACACGGACCATGTGATCGGGCGCGACGAGAGCGCGGAGTGAGACGCGCTCCACGAACATTATTAGTAGGCATAGTTCAAAATTCGGGCCCGCTCGCCCGGAGGAATCGCAGATCGCGGCAGCACGCGTCTGGTTACCGTGCGTGCGAAAGGGATGAAGCTATATTCGAAAACTCCCTCGTCGATCTCTCTCAGTGTTTTGTATTAAACATTTGTTTATGTTTATTATTTACTAAAATTTAGTACTTGTCGATCAACCGAAGGGAAAATACTGATTGTATTAGTGTCGCATCAATAAATCTATCACAGCTCATCGATCGCCTTTCTAGGTAAGTATTTTATCATAACTATCTTATGCTTTTTAACTTCCTATATTTATTTTTTAAATTCAATGTAATACGTGCAATCACTTACGTCGTCAATTCGTTGTTATTTAAACTATTTCTTAAAATTTTTACGTCGTGTTTTGTTTATTACACGATGGCAGCCATCGGATGACTGAGAAGTAAAACAGCCTTTTTATTCCAGCTATTAATTCAATACAATGCAATGCAGCAGTTTAAAACGAATAAGCAGCCGTTATTATATATTATATCGACGGCGCGTAGGTACCTATTAGTGATGGATTAATTAGCATTAGCATTCATTATTAGCATGCGAATGCTCATTTAGCATTTAACAAATGAAATGTAGTTGCGAAATTCTGTGAAGTGCGAAGTGAATTAATCGTTTCGTACTTCGTTCATAGTTCATACTACACGCGGCACTCAGCGAGACAGCGGCAGCATGCGCTCTCCGTCGCACCCACAGGAATACTAAATCTATCTGTTTCACGTGACCCTGACTTTTAGCAGGTGCATTTGATGCGAAGAATAAGGTTAGGCAATTATTATCTTATTATCTTTGATTTGCTCGTACTTAGGGTCGTATATTGTATGAATGCGTGTGATCGTTTAATTCGTTAAAGTTATTAGCAGGGTGATGCGAAGTATGGGATTGAGTAAATTATTACCTTATTATCTTTGGTTTGCTAGTATTTAAAGTCGTATATTGAATAAATGCGTGTGATTATTTAATAATAATTTGTGTGACACGTGGGTGGCGCGCGTCGTATTGTATAAAATGTTAAATAAATTTGTAAATAATGTACATTATATGTAAAAACTAAATCATGTAAATACGATCAAGTGAACTTATAAATACGCCAGTTTATAACATTTTACTGCTAGTTCTAAGCCTGGATAAAGTATGAATGAAGGTTCACAAAAACTTAAACATCAAAGGTTTTAAATTAGTTAAATATCTTTAATTATAATAATATGATCATTCATTATCTTAATCACAACACAATGCAAGTGTACTAGTAGAAATAAAACGTTATCGGCGAGGAAACTAAACGCACGGTAGGACTCGACGTCCTCCTTCCTTCATAAGCCGAACGCGCTCTTAATTCGTATAATAACAAAATTCATATAATTATTTAGGTAATATCAATTATAGTTATATTAGCAAATAGCATAGCAATAGCACGCTAAGGCTCAAGAATTCGCATGCTAATGAAATTTATGCAAAATCGCATTAATTACCATTACTAGTACCTATAACTCGGGTGGTTGCCACGCGATCGCGCGCGCTCCGCGATATCATTACGCCGCTCGTAAATTGTAGTGTAACGCTCCAACAAACCAAAAAACCGACAAAAATCGGGGGAACGACTCGCGAAACAGGCGCGAAGCCGCGAAGAATACGCGAAATGGTTCTACACTCACGGTTTGCGGGTGGTTCGCGGCTGTCGCGCGGAATGGCTACAAAACAAGTATTTTTCCGTCCGTCTGTCCGTTACAGCCTGTTATAGTTCACTGCTGAACATAGGTGCCTCCCCCATAGATTACCTCATAGAGGGGATATTTGCCATAGTTGCCACCCTTGGAAATTGATTATTTTTGTTTACAGGTTGTAATTATGAGCGCGCCAAGAAAAAAGCTATCGGGAGCGGAATATAGGAAAAGGGCTAAATATAAGGAGTTGCAGGGAAAACAATGTGCAGATAATATGAAAAATTGGCTTCTCAGAGGGGGTGACCCGTCAGTATCTGCTGCAACGTCCGAAGTTGATATTCAGTTAGAGGATGTTTCTCGCACTTTGCCCGATCAAACGGATCAAGATTTTTCACAGTCCGATTTCACAGTGCAAACTTCACCATCTTTATCGATGTGCGGAGAACAACTTGAAAAAACAAAGCCAGAATACGAAGGATCTAAATCCCCGCACTCGGATTCGGATGAACTGCAAAAAACTGGATTTGATTTGACTGACCCAGGCAATTGGCCAGGGGTGGAAAAAATGACCGACCAACAACGGTCTTTCTTTAGCAATCAGGCTGTATTATTAGCAGAAAATCACCCCGAAAACATTGAATTTAGATCTACTGAACGCAATGGCAGACATTTAACAGCTTCTATGTGGTACAGGACGTTGGCTAATTGCGAAAGAGTTAAAAGATCTTGGCTTATATATTCTAAGACAAAAAATGCAATATTTTGTGCGTGCTGCAAGATTTACCAGAAACCGTCTTTTACCGCCACATCTGCATTGTGTTCTACAGGATTTATTAATTGGAAAAAATTTCAGAGAGATTAACCGAACACGAAGCAAGTCAAATGCATAAAGAGTGTATGATCAAGTGGAAAACACGGGTACAACAAATGAAATCATGCCAGGGTATTGATCAAGACATTGAGAGAGTAATTCACTCATAGAAAGAAAAATGGAGACAGATCCTGCGTATTGTTATGGATGCTGTATTGTATCTATCCATAAACTGCCTTTCTTTTCGCGGGTCCCACGAAACTCCTAGCGATCTCATCACACAGTGTCCTCGGCCTAGTCAAGGTAACTTCTTGAACTTAATTTCTCTGCTCGCCAAACATAATTCAACTCTTAAGTTTCAATTAGAACACTTAAAAAAGGGACAAATATCATATTTATGAAAGACAATACAGAATGAAATAATTGACATAATGGCAAAAACAGTTAAAAATAGCATTTTAAATGACATCAAAGAAGCCAAATACTACACGATAATGTTCGACTGCACTCCAGATGTATCCCATACAGAACAAATGAGCCAGGTAATTCGATATGTAAAAAGAACTGGCGATGTGTGAAATAAAAGAAAGTTTCATTGATTTCATAGAAGTTGCTGGAAAGACAGGAGAGGGCATTTGTCAACAGATTTTAGAAAAATTGGTAGCTGATGATTTAGATATTGGACAATGTCGTGGCCAATCTTATGATAATGGGTCCAATATGGCCGGCATCCATAAAGGAGTACAAGCCAGGATTGCAGAAAGGAATGAGCTGGCCGAATTCGTACCGTGCTTGGCTCACTCCCTAAATCTTGTAGGTGTTCATTCTGCCTCATCATGCCAGGAAGCTATTAACCTATTTGGACTGATTCAAAAAGTATATTGCTTTTTTGTTGGCTCCACTACTAGGTGGGACATTATGAAAAAATACGTTAAAACAAATTTAAAAGGAAGTAGTCAGACGAGATGGTCGGCGAAACATGTTGCTGTGAATGGCCTATTAAATAATTTGCCAGAAATAGCGGAAGCCTTAGAAGAAGTTAAGCAAGCTTCTCATGCTCCAGAAGCTAAGTACGAAGCAGGTCATCTCTTAACTGCTATAAAGAATTTTAAATTTATTCTTAATTTAACTATTTGGGCGAATATTCTCCGCGAAATCAATCGAGTGAATATAGAAATTCAGAAAGAAGATATTATCCTTGCCCGTTCCGTCGCACTAATGGATGGTTTGCTCAAAACTTTGCAAAAAATGAGACAAAATCCAATGGAATATTGGATAAAAGAGGCTGGAGAAGTTGCTGAAAAAAGTGGTGTTGACCCTATATTGCAAAACAAACGAATTCCGAAACGTAAAAAACATTTTGATGAGATGTGTGAAGACGAATTACAAACACTGCAACCTGTTCAACTACTTTCTAATGAAATAATGATGGTATTTGATCGAATCATATCAGAAATTAAAAAGAGGTTTGATTGTGCTACCATGCTGAATTTGAATTTTGCTTTTCTTAATGGTACTAATATTTTGAGAATGTCAATTGAAGAATTGCAAAAGTATGGAGCAGATTTGGCTCGAAAATACGAGCGAGATTTAAGCTCCGTTGAATTCTGCCAGGAACTCTACGTTTTAAAAGAGCAAGCTCCGCTTTTATTTGGTGATATAGAAAAGGCTAACAGTTTCTATCTCTTGCAACAGATCTATGCGCATGATTTGCAGGATGCTTTTCCTAATATTTGTATTGCCCTGCGAATTTACTCTACGCTTCCTACTACATCCGCAAGCTGTGAGCGAAGTTTTAGCAAATTAAACTAATTAAAAATTATTTGCCATCTTCTATGAGCCAGGAACGCTTATCAAGTCTTGCAATCTTAGCCATAGAAAATCAAATTGCCCACGAGTTAAATTATGACAAGGCCATAGATTTATTTGCTGAACAAAAAGCTCGAAGAGTAAAATTGTAATTTTAATTAACAAATGCAATAATATATTTGATTTTTATTTTTATTATACATATTTTTATTTTAAATCCTATCATGTGCTGTGTATAAAATACATATCCTACATGTTCATGTCTATATATCTGTAAATAAATAGACTTAACACAGAAAGAACAGCGATGGATGAATTATTTCCGGAAGGCCTATGTCCAAACGTCAATCAATTAGTGGACATCTGATAGCTGAAATTATAGACGATAAAGGTAAAAATAAAAATAAGTGTGCGAGGGCGGCATTTTTTCAGTTTTTGCCCCGCCTAAAAAAAATTGAAGATCCGGGGCTGGGAGTCCTAATAGCACCTGTATTGTGATGTTTATATCAATGTAATGATATGATTCTCTTGATTAATATTGGCACAAAATGAAAACCAAATTTCTCGCAATACGAAAAAGATAAATTTGCAATTAAGATTTTAAAATCACTTGTTTCACTCAAAAACTAGTACGTACTGCACCTAGTTTTATACTTTGAGCCCGATTTAAGCTTCTTGTGTGACACCTGTTCGTTTCATTTCTTAGAACCTGACAGCTTTTGTAGTCGAGCTTTAAGTCCACCTTCTTTTTTTGGTTGTGTCAAAGATTTCCTTTCCTCTTGTAATTTTTTGGTCTCTTTTAACCTGAAATTGTAAAACAAAATAGTGAGTACGACAAAATAATTACTTTGACACAAAAATTATTTGATACGTGTAATTAATCTTTAAAGACATTTTTTTTAATCTACCCCCACAGTAGAATTGTCTCCAGTATCGTGTGTTTTACATACATAATATGCACATGGAAAACATTTACAATTGGAACAATTATTTGTAGATAAACGAGTGCTCGTTCCGTGCGGAGTTTTAAACCGCGGTCTCACAGCACCGCTACCCAACGCTTAGCCATTTCGCTAACGAGTCCTTACAAATTACACTGGCTTACAAATTTTGAACTTTGTCGTGCCACACGAACTTTACTCATACTTTTTACTTTGATATTTTTCATTTTGGATGACAGAAAAAATGAGTACCTAAAAAAATATTGACCAAGAATTTGTTGTCATTTAAATATTTCAACAAATAATAATGACCGTCCGAAACACAAAACAAAAGTAAAAAAGTTCCATTATGAATTTACGATTTAGGATTTTCTGGCATATTTAGCTCCTGGATGGTCCCTTTTCAACGTCCAGCAGTAATCGGCCAACATCCTTGGGTTCCATTTGCCGTGACAGCGCTTTTCCATTGCAACAACGATTTAAAAAGATATCCATACATACCAGGCGGTCCCATAATGAACTGGCCTGATATAGTTCAACGCGACATGTCGCTACATGTTGTGTTGCATTAAATAGTACGTTTATCGTGCACTTAATATAAGAAACATGCATCGACATGAAATGCTTAGTCTTAGTTTAACAGGCATTTGAATAACGAGAGTCGCGTATTTTTTCAAAATGTCGAAAACTGAGTATCGAAGTGTCATAAAGTTTCTGTTTAAAGAAGGTTTATCCCCTGCCCAAATGAAAGAACGATTGGATGGCGTGTATAAGGAGTCTGCCCCCTCCTATAGCACAGTGAAAAATTGGGTGAAAGAGTTTCGCCTCGGGAGAGAAACCGTCGAAGACTTTGGCCACGACGGTCGACCTGTGGAAGTGCTCACTCCCGAAACGATTGCTCTTATCGAAGAGGAGGTTCTGAGTGACCGCCGTTTGAAGATTAGAGAAATTGCAGCAAGGCTTGGGCTCTCTAAGAGTACCGTTCATCGCGCGATCCATGAACATCTTCACATGAAAAAAGTGAGTGCAAGATGGGTACCGAAACTTCTTTCAGCGGTACAGAGACAGGAAAGAGTGCGCTGCGCTTCGGAATTTTTGGATCTTTGTGGCGAAAATCCAAAGACTGTGATCGAGCGGCTAGTGACTGGTGATGAAACTATGATCTTGTATTATGATCCACAAAGCAAGCGCGAGTCAATGGAATGGCGTTATAAGGGTTAAAAGCCCCGTAGAAAGGCAAAGGTGCAACAATCGACTAAAAAACTGATGTGCACAATATTTTGGGATTTTGAAGGCATTTTGATGGTGGATTTTAAAGAACGTAATACAGTCGTGAACGGCGAATATTATGCTTCTTTAATATATAAATTACGAGACAAGATAAAGGAAAAACGAAGAGGCAAGCTGTCTAAAGGTGTCCTGTTGCTCCATGACAACGCCCCTGTTCATACCGCTGGTGTTTCGAAGGATGCAGTTCGTCAATGCGGGTTCACAGAACTTCAATATCCACCTTACAGTCCAGACATGGCCCCGTCTGACTAATATTTATTTCCAAATTTAAAGGGGGACTTAAGAGGAAGAAAATTTTCAAGCGATGAAGAGTTGCAGGCGGCCATCTTCAGTCATTTTGAGGATAAAAAATGTGATTATTTTTATAAAGATTTAGAGATGTTGATTCACAGATGTCAGAAGTGTGTTAGTATTCATGGTGATTATATTGAAAAATAAAATTGGTTTCATTTCATTTCCTTCAGTGGTTCATAGTTAGGCCAATTCATTATGGGACCGCCTACGTACATCCATCTCGTTTTTCTAGATCGTTCAATTTTTCTTCAAATACTGTATCTTTTATTAACCTACTAATTTGAGATACAACGTAAATACCCTCTTTTATCTTTGCGTCACTTATTCTTTTACATACAAAAATCCGCTGCCATTGCGATCCATTGCCTTAACAATTTCTTTTTAATTAGGCCTAATTTAATGTGCAAATATTAATGGTATTGCGGTAAATATTTCACATTTTTCTGTCCAGGACTTTAAAATGTTCGCATATGCCATACTTTTATATGATAATGGTTTCTTTTGTCCCGACTATCCCATTCACAAAACATCAGAATTTGGTATAACCCAGCTGAAGTTCGAGAAGGGCAACAACTTTGAAATCACTACAGATTTTGAAAGAATATTTACCTACTACTACTCACAGGATACCAGCGTAAAATAGTAGCTTATTGCTGCTGTGTTTCGTATGGTGAGTGTAGAGAACCGAGTGTAGAGATCTTAGTCCTCACGGGTGATATCGCATCTGCTTTTTGATTCGTAATCGAGAATAGATGTAGATGTCTGTGGGCCACAGCAATCACTTACCATCAGGTGGACTGTGTGCTCGTCTGTCACCCTATCCTATAAAATAAAATAAATAAAAATACTAGCTGGCGGGCACAGCTAGTATTTTTATTTGACTTCGATCGCGTGGAATTAGTAATTTTAACAGCCCTATTAATAAACACAGTCTTGATCGAGATTAACTTTATTCCTAATTTTAAGCTTAAAATATTTCAATATTAATAAACATAGAGTTAGGAGGGAGTAAACTAACTATGCCGACCTAATTAGTGCATGCCCATAAAGTATGACATTGACAGGTACTGTCTGTACTACTAAGAAATTCAGGACTTCATAGGCGTGATAAAAATTTGATCGAAACCACATTAAAAATAAATTTATTCAGTCACTTTCAGTTCTCAGTACAACTACTCGAGCTGTCGTTGTTTAGATTAATTATTATTTGATTTTCAATAATGCAGTCAAAATTAATGTCTCTCAAAGTCATCCATAATCATTTTTTTTTTGTTTTTTTTTTTACCACTTTTATCAAATCATCATTTTTAACATGGACACATGCTTCAAGGAATATAGAATAAATAGTCCAAAAAATTAAAGTCGAGTCACAAAATAAGAGGACAAACACAAAATCACAAAATTATGCACAGTAGGCTCCCGAAATGGCGGGAGATTGTAATTACGTATAATATTAAATACACTATAATAACATAATACATGAAAATTATATTGACTAGTTGTTGTTGTAACGATTTGCCAATAAGACGTTTCATACCATACTGCCTAGCCTAGTCTGATGTGTATTTTATTTAAACTGGAATATCTTTAATTCCTGACTTCCTACAGTAGTATGACCGAAGAAAAAATGTTCAGGATTAAACTCCTTTAAAAAGTAAATTTTTACATATTTTGCATTTACGCTCCTTCATTTCGAAACCGTTACAAAACAAAGCCAGCCGCGGGTGGTATTTTTGGATTATTTCATGCGGACATAATGAAATGCAACAGTAGACAAAATCGTATTTTATGAATGGTATCTGAAATGGTTACTAATCATTAAAAAAAAAACTATCAAAAATAAAATATCAATGAACATAGCAGACGTACTGAGACAGCAGCCGGGTCTAACAATTAGGAATTAAGAACCACCCAGGTGATCCCATACGAAGAAAAAAAAATCATCATAATTGGTATAGCCGTTTAGGATAATAAGAATTACGAACACGCACACCTGAACTTTTTATATAAAGACTAGGCGTGCAACATATTATTATTCTTAATAAACAAACTATCAAAAAAAAACTTATCCTGATCAAAATTTGGTGGTCGGCGTACAATTTCTGGAAATGTTTACGTAAAACACGGGAGCGCCTGCGATGATCGACCGCGCAAAATGCGGATCGATTTTGCGCGGTCGATAATATAGTTCACTTTGCCATTTAGTAATAAACGAAATTATTTATGAAATAAAATTTAGTTTCTAATAAAGGGTTATCTTAAGATTAATGTGTATTTTTTTTAAATTAATTAAAAGTGTTTCTATGTAATAGAAAAAAATACATATTTCTAACGAAGTTTTCTGGAAATTACGTTATTTCAACAATTTTTTTCTGCTATATTTGGATAGAAATTAAAAAACTACAAACAAGTAGACCGTATACTTATGTTATTTATATTTTTTAATGTTTGAAATATTTTGTAGTTTCGTTGTAAAACGAAGACAAAAATCACTTGATCATTACTTTTCGAAATGAGTTGATTTCGCGCATGGGGCCTTAAGCTAGTTTTAGAAGAGTCAATGAATAAACGCCTATGAGAGGGTTCGGGTTGGATTTAGAATCGTTTGGCAGGAATTAGGGGGAGTAAGGTGTTTTATTTGGTAGAGGTTTGGTCCCCGATTATAATAATACCACTCACATTAAAAAGTAATGCACCGTTATCGAAAAAATAAATAAAAACTATTATAACCTAAAATGCGTAAAGTATGGAAAATGATACATTTTTTATTATTAACTGACTACAGCTCTGGGTTCTAGGCCTCCTGAGAAAAAAATTATACGATATTACTGTGAAAGCTGGATAGCATACAGAATTTTGTGGCTGTGGCGAAAGCAAAGGCAACCTGACTTTAAAGATATCTGATCTAATCTAATCTGTACTAAAGTTAAATCCACGTAGTCTTGTCTGCCCTACTCCTAAAGTATTTTTGTAAAGCCGTAGGTGCGGAGGGAGAGCAGCCCCCCGCCCGTCGTAGCCAATCGCAGGCACCTGTGCGAGCCGTAGTGTGCTTACTATTGTATTATATATTATGTTTATAATTATACAGCAATTCTAAAAGTTAATTATTTTTGTAGTTTACATTCGTTCAGTTAAGAGCGAGCGAAGAGCTCGGGAGTTAGGGCACCCCGACTCGGACAGGTTAGGTTAGAAGGGGATGGCGAGATCGTTGACTTGACTGTCGTCTCCATGCCCCATGAGACATGTAGGGTTCGGGCCTCGGGGTATGCCCCCATTACC